CCCGGGTTCAGATCCTGGGCGCGCACCAATGCACCACTTGTCAGGCCATGCTGTGGCAGCATCCCATATAAAGTGGAGGAAGATGGGCACAGATGTTAGCCAAGGGCCAGTCTTCCTCAGCAAAAAGAGGAGGATTGGCAGGGATGTTAGCTCAGGGCTGATCTTCCTCACCAAAAAAAAAAAAGAAACTTCATCATGTCACTCCTCTGCTTAAAATTTTTCAATGAGTCTCACTGACTACAAGATAAAATGCAAACTCATTAAAATGACAGACACAGCTCTTTATAATTCTTTAGGCTCATCTGAGGCCACTCTCCTCCACCTACCCAATGCTGAAGCCAAACCTAAGCCCTGAAGTTCCACGAACTACCCACCTCTCTTCCATCCCTATGCCTCCTTCTGCCTTCCTTATCTGGTCCACCTGGCTAACCCCAGTCATCTTCAGGTCCCAGTTTAAGCATCACCTTCTCTGAAAGGTACAATTTGGTACTACTGGCAGAGACTGTTAGTTGATCTGCAAAATTCATCCTCCCCTTCTCCTAAGTTAGGGATCCCCCATTTTTAGCTAAGCACATGGGTAGGCGTGGAGTCATATAACTAAGCTCTCGTTAATGAAAGGTAAGCACAAGTTTCCACGGACCTTCTTTAAGGGACAGCTCTATGCCTCCTTTTCTTTCTTTCCGCACCCTGCTGCCTGAACGAAGAAGTTGCCATCTCAGACCATAAGGCTGAGGCCACATTCGGTGGAGCAACAACATGGATACTCTAACATCATGCAACACCACATCAGCCCCAATCCACCTAACATTTACATAAGAGGGAAACAAACTTCAGTCTCACTTAAACCACTGTCAGTTTGGGTGTTCTGTCTATCTCAGCTGAACTTAACTCTAACTAACATAGAACTTCTCTGTGTCCCTTACTGCCTTTGGCATAGTCTCACAAAAGCACCAATGATAAGCATTGACACTGTTTTTTGTGTCTTCCTCTAGTCTAGACTGTGAGCTCCCAAAGAGGGGTGTTATCTAATTTATCCCTCTTCTACTAGCCGAGCACAATATCTGGCACACTGTCTTGGCACATTAGTAGGTATTCGAAAGACATTTAATGAATTTAATTATATTGGTGACCAAGTACCAAGTCATTAACTTCCACTATCTTGCCCCTTCTTTCTTTTCAAAGTCCAAATATGAAAAGAATTTTTTTTCTGAACATATCTTTCAGTATTTCTCCCAAACTTCTGCCCCAAATCTCAAGCTGAGCTATTTTTTCCCTTTTTGAACATTGTCAGTTGAATATAAAATGCATTTTTACAAAATTACAGTGTTCTTAGCCTCTCTTCCATGTCAGCAACTCTGAAAGATCAGAAATAAATCCATCATTGACTCAAAAACCTGTATTAACTATCTACGATGTCAGGCACGAGCAAGCAGCTAAGAATATTAATTAGGCATTCCTGGTTCCTGGGTCTAGTGCCCTATTCAGTCTGCTGTTTCACTTTGAGGACCCACTCCTGGCCCAGCAAGAAACATCAAACTGCTTTAAGGAGACTTACTGCTGGAGAAACGCCATGTTTGTGAGATTTGACTCAACCAGTCTGTGACAGCCTGTTATCTTGTCCCTTCTCTGTTCTCTATCTCCACCTCTCCAGCCTCCTATCTGCTCCAGTCCTTCCAGTCTGATGTCTAACTAAGTAGCTTTTCCTGCTCTGACCCTCCCAATTTATTTCCTGGTCTACTTTCTATCTCCCTAGTCCCTTCATGGAAACTGTTTTTATACAGCCTTCTTGATAACTGACCTCTGCCTTGGTCCTGCCTACTCTTCTTGAATACTATCTCAGGAGGCAAAGGCAGTGTGCTGGGTTTCCTATCAGAACCTCCCCTCTTCCCCCCACAGACACATCCACCCTTTAGGAGGTGTGGTGTAATGGAAAGAGCACTGGCTTAAAAGCCACAGAGGTGTGGACAAGTATGGCCTTAAGAAAACTATTTAACCTCTTGAGCTTTCACTTTATTCAAATATAAAATTGAGACTCCATCTACCTATTAGAGTTATTAAAAGGACTAGAGAAAAGTCATGTAAAGGGCCAAGGGCAATATAGAAGATTTTTAGTCACCATGACTTCTTTTATTTTTATTTATTTATTTTTTTTGTGAGGAAGATCAACCCTGAGCTAACATCCATGCCAATCCTCCTCTTTTTGCTGAGGAAGACCGGCCCTGAGCTAACATCCATTGCCAGTCCTCCTCCTTTTTTCCCCCTTTTTCTCCCCAAAGCCCCAGTAGACAGTTGTATGTCACAGTTGCACATCCTTCTAGTTGCTGTGTGTGGGACGTGGCCTCAGCATGGCCCAACAAGCGGTGCGTCGCTGCACGCCCGGGATCCAAACCCGGGCCGCACACCCAACCGCTAAGCCACGGGGCCGGCCCCCATGACTTCGTTTAATACAAAGAAGCAAGTGTTACGATAGATCTGAAATCTTGTAATATCTGATAACAATAGTAATAAAGAAAACCTAGTTATAATTCCACAACATTTACTGAGCACTAACTCTTAAAGCTGTGCTAGGTGCTGGAATTGTTAACTGTAAACAAGGAAGCATCTGCCCTCAAGAGGTTTACATTCGGATAAGGATGAAAAGCAAGTAAAAAGATAATTACAGTACAAAGAGCAATGACCCTAATAGGGGTAAGAACAGGGTTTAACACAAAAGAGCATAAAATATTTTAGAGATACAGACTGAACATATCCAGGGAAGGGGGGAGGTAGAAGGCACAGTAGGGAGGGTGGGAGGTAAGAGAGTGGCCACAGCGAGTGTGGAGGACCCCTTTGTGAAATTTAAAGAACGGCCACTGTCCACTGGCCAATTTGCACTGATAACTTTTCTCCTGCTCAAATAATCAGAGCCACAAACGGGCCTACTAACTTGTATGCTCATATAAGATTCGTATACTCCCTGCTAGTCCCCTACCTCACCCTCTTCCAAATCTATTGTTATAAAATACCCACACATGAAATAAATGTCCAAACACAGCACACTAGAACTGGAATAAGGCCCAGCAGCAGCCAAAAAGCACTGATCCACCCAATTCTAACAAATCGTTAAAAGAAGACAGAGAAAAATTAATAAGCCAACTGGGGAAATTCTGAACACACGCCTGAATATTTGAGGAAATTGGGACTTTTTTTTTAGGTGATAATGGTATTATGGGGGCTTTTTTGTTTCAAAGAGTCTTGTTTTTTGTTAGACTTTTTTTGCTTTCGTTTTTATTTTTTAGAGATATGTACTAAAATATTTATGTATAAAATGATATGTCTGGGATTTGCTTTAAAATAGTATGGGGGTGGGGGGAACACGGTAAAGATGAAAATGAAATAAGCCTGGTCATAAACTGGTAATTGTTAAACTGGGTGATGGGTGCATAGGGATTTGCTATACTATTCTCTCTACTTTTGTCAATGAGATATTCCACAATAAAAAATGTTTTATAAAAAAGCACTAATTTAGGGCCAGGCTGGTGGCGCAGCGGTTAGGTGCGCACACTCGGGTTCGGCAGCCTGGGGTTCGCAGGTTCCGATCAGGACATGCGCCGATGCACTGCTTGTCACATGGCGTCCCATATAACGCAGAGGAAGACCGGCACGGAGGTTAGCACAGGGCCAGTCTTCCTCAACAAAAAGAGGAGGCTTGGCATCGGATGTTAGCTCAGGGCTGATCTTCCTCACACACACACACACACAAAGCACTAATTTAGACAGTCTATAACAGCAGAGAATAATATTCATGAAGTTTCTTGCTTCCTTTTGTTCATTTAGAAATCCATGGCAGAAGAAATATTTCAAAACTTAACTGGTCCCCAGTTCCCTTTGTTTTTATAAGAAATCACAGATACATCTTGTTTGCTTTTTGGAACTTCAAATCACAGAAAGGACAGAATGAATTCTTAACCAGGGGACAATGCCTTTGTGTTACTTTACTTTCAAGGAAGAGAATTAATTTTAGGATTCCCACATTGTCCTCCAAAGGAATCAAAGGATGGTTTAACACAAAAATTATGACCGTAGTCTTGGAGGGAGATTAATTTTTTAGCAAAGAAAACTTTTTAGAAAACAGTGCAAGTATTACATGTTTTTTAAAAATCATTTATTTTCTTAAAAAGTGCAAGTGGTTGGGCTGTATAAACTGAACTCCTGGTGTCTACTGCCAAAGCTCCACTGGAAGACCTACCCACAAAGGACAAAAGCTTAGTCCACAGGAGAGGCAATTTCAAACCCACAAAGGACTTTGAACCGAAAAGGAGAAAAGTGGGATAAAATAATTTTTGAATATATAAATTTTAAACCTTTGCGATCATTTACATCTTTTTTATTCTAGCTCTTTTAAAAATTCTGTTTTCCCAGGGCCGGCCTGGTGGTGCAAGCGGTTAACTGCGCACGCTCTGCTGCGGCAGCCCGGGGTTCGCGGGTTTGGATCTTGGGCGCACACCGACGCACGCTTGTCAAGCCATGCTGTGGTGGCGTCCCATATAAAGTAGAGGCAGCTGGGCACGGATGTTAGCCCAGGGCCAGTCTTCCTCAGCAAAAAGAGGATTGGCAGATGTTAGCTCAGTGCCGATCTTCCTCACAAAAAAAAAAAAAAATTCTGTTTTCCTGAAAGCATATGTAAATTTGGCTTCTCCTTATAAATAAATAAATGTTTTTAATCTTATTTTCTTTATCCTTTACTTCCCAATAATAGTAAACATTTACTGAGCTCTCACTATGGGCCAGACATTTACCATTAATTATCTCATTTAATCCCCACAAAAACCTTATGAGGTAGGTTCACTATTACCCAAATTTCAAAGATAAGGAAACCAAAGCTTAACGAGGAGAAATAACAAGATGAAACTGCCAAACTAGCAAACGAAAGAGCTAGAATTCCAACTTACTACAGAACCTGAGATTTTTTTTTTTGCAGGGAAAGATTAGCCCTGAGCTAACATCTGTTGCCAATCTTCTTCTCTTTTCTTTTCTCCCCAAAGCCCCAGTACACAGCCGTATAGCCTAGCTGTAAGTCCTACTAGTTCTTCTACGTGAGCCACCACAGCACGGCTACTGACAGACGGGTGGTGTGGTTCCACGACCGGAATCGAACCCGGCCGCCGAAGCGGTGAGAGCACGGAACTGGAACCACTAGACCATGAGGGCTGGCTCAGAACCTGAGATCTTAACCACTACATGGTACTACCTTTCTGTCTTTTTGCCCTCAGTACCTACATTTTTAACTTTTGGCCTGCAGCTCTTATTTTCTTCTAACTCTGGAGAAAAATAAAGTCAACTTTTACTCGTTTATATAACCCCTACTTTTTTGTGTGTGTGTGAGGAGATCAGCCCTGAGATAACATCCATGCCAATCCTCCTCTTTTTTCTGAGGAAGACTGGCCCTGGGCTAACATCTGTGCCCCTCTTCCTCTACTTTATATGGGACGCCGCCGCAGCATGGCCTGGCAAGCAGTGCATCGGTGCACGCCCAGGATCCCAACCCAGGCTGCCAGCAGCAGAGCGCGCGCACTTAACCACGCTATGCCATGGGGCCCGCCCCTAATCCCTACTTTTTAAATGGACAGATTAAAACATATCAAGATCCTAACCACTGTGTGCAATTGAAGCATTAACTTGTACGTGCAATACTTCATATAAAAACATGACCCTCCTAACCCAATATCATCAGGGATGGAGCTTTTAGCAGTCTGGTTAGAGAGAAATTTTCACTGATCCATCTACCTGCTCAGCTGGTTTCCCTTGTGACCAAGGGCCCACATTTATTTGAAAGACAGCTGGCACCACTGGGGAGGCAAACCATCATCATGATGCTGGGCAAAGCTGACTACAACAGAACTTCTGATTTTATTATCCTCTTATGCACCATCCTCCAAGTAAGTGACCTCTAGCTAGATATGATGTGTGTACATTTTTACCAAAATAACATTGTCAATTTTTTAAAGTTTACTGTGTAATCAAGAGAGATCATTAAGAATAAAAAGTCAAGCCACAGAGAGAAGATATTTGCAATGCATACAACCAAAGAACTCATATCCAGGATATATACAGAATGCCTACAAAGCAATAAGAAAAAAACAAATAACAATTTAAAAATTGCCAAAACACTTGAACAAATACTTCACAAAAGAGGATCTCCCAACAGCCAATAAATATATGCAAAGGTGCTCAATATTACTATACATTAAAGAAATGCAAAATTAAAACCACTAGGGAATACTACTAGAGTACTACATATATACCAGAATGGTTAAAAGGAAGAAAACTAACAATACCAAGTGTTGGTAAGTATAGGAGCAAATGGAACTCTCATATATTGTTGATGGGAATGTATATTGGTACAAAAACACTCTGGAAAACTTTGATAATACCTATTAAAGCTGAACATACACATATCTATGACCAAGCAATTCCACTACTGGGTATATATCCAACATATGGGCACCAACAGACATATACAAGGGCATTTATAAAAGTCAAAACTGGAAACAGGGGACTGGCCCGGTGGCACAGTGGTTAAGTGCGCACGCTCCGCTTCGGCGGCCTGGGGTTTGCAGGTTCAGATCCCGGGCGCACATCAACGCACCACTTGTCAAGCAATGCTGTGGCGCCATCCCATATAAAGTAGAAGAAGATGGGCAGGGCTGTTAGCCCAGGGCCAATCTTCCTCAGCAAAAAAAAAAAAAAAAAAGGATGACTGGCACTGGATGTTAGCTCAGGGCTGTTCTTCCTCACCAAAAAAAAAAAAATTTCGAAACAAACCAAATGTCCATAAACAGTAGACTGAATAATAAATCATGGTATAGTCATACAATTAAATACTGTACAGAATGAAAAAGAACTGGCTATTGCTCTAAGTAACAACATGGATGAAACTCACAGATACACTATTGAGCAACAGAAGCCAGACACAAAAGAGAATATATATATGACTTCATTTATGTGAAACTCAAAAACAGGCAAAACCAATCAATGATGACAGAAGTCAGAGTAGTGGCTAACTTTGGGGAGATAAAAACTGGGAGGGGGCATGACTTCTGGATGCTGGTAATTAATGTTCTCTTTCTTGATCTGGGTGGTAGTTTCATGGGTGCGTTCACTTTGTAAAAATTCACTACAAATTCACTAAGCTACACGTTTATTATTTGGACTCCTTTTTTGTATGTAAGTTATACTTCAATTAAAGTTTACTGTAGAAAAATTAAAAGTTACCTATAAGTCCAACAACAGGTGAATATTCAAACATTATGGTATATCCAAACCAATGGAATATTACATACTTATGTTTTTAAAGAATGATGAAATAGAAAATGTTCAAAAAATTGGGCTGGCCCCGTGGCTTAGCAGTTAAGTGCACGCACTCCGTTACTGGCGGCCCAGGTTCAGATCCCGGGCGCGTACTGACGCACCGCTTCTCCCACCATGCTGAGGCCACGTCCCACATACAGCAACTAGAAGGATGTGCAACTGTGACGTACAACCATCTACTGGGGCTTTGGGGAAAAAGAGGGAGGAGAATTAGCAATAGATGTTAGCTCAGAGCCAGTCTTCCTCAGCAAAAAGAGAAGGATTAGCATGGATGTTAGCTCAGGGCTGATCTTCCTCACAAGAATGAATGAATGAATGAATGAATGAATGAATGAATAAATAAAATAAAAGGTTCAAAATAGTTTTTTTAAAGTTGATATAACTGAATTTACTATATTACCTCAATTTTTTAAAAAGATATCTAAATAGAAAAGTAACTGAAATTTACTTACATAGTATTAATGTTTATATTTGGGTGTTAGGTTTAAGGAAATATTCATTTTCTTCTTTAGTTTTATTTTTTTTCGATTAAGCATGTGTTATTTTTATAATGAGGGAAAAGCTATTTTAAAAACATTAACAGCTTGCCACAGACAATGAAATTATCTTAACTTTAATGAATTTACCCATGAAAATCTATCTTGTTGGAGGATCTATAGCATCGAAACCACTGAACCAGAACCAACAATACAAGAAACAACTAGAAATTTGTTTTGGTTATGTGTTTCATTTTCTTTGTATGGCCAAAGTGAGAAACAGTGTAATCATAAGTCTGATTAAAGCTTTGTAATTGTTCTAGCACCTGTTCAACTTTGCTGATGCACAACACACATGTGACATACTAAAATCCAGACAGGATTTAACAAGTAAGGTATATCAAACACAGGCCCTGTTATTGTCAAGGTTTCTAGGTGTGGTTGCAGCTCAAGTATAATAAGATCATTTACATCTCTCTGAGTCAGTCACCCACTCTCCTGTCTGTGTCTCTCCTTCCACCTCAGATGTGGGCAGGAACATAACACTCTATACATAGGACAATCTGAGCAAAACTGAGTAGATTTCAGGAGAGTAATAACTCAGGAATATCAAATCTTTTCCTTTCATGAGGGAAAATGAAAAGAGGAACAACTATTACTGACATACACATCTACAAAGATGGAAAAAACATAGTTTTTGAACGCATTTATGAATTCCAAGACAATTGCAGCCTTTTACCGTTCTATTTATGAGATTTTCTAGCTTGCCCTAATTGTGTGTGTGTGTGTATGTGTGTGTTGTTTTCCCACACTACAGGTTAGAGAGAAGAAGAAATCAGATTCCAGAAAGTTCTAAACCTAGAAAGGTCAGACAGCTGGCAATCACACATACCCCTCAAGTTTATAAAATTCCGGTGGAAGTCTAGCCCAAAATTTAAGGGGATAAAAATGCTACAGTAAGCCACAATACAGGATTAAACATTTTCTATTTGTATTTCTCTTAGTCTGCCTTTCTCTGTTCTCCAAACAGAAGCTGTTTGTGACCGTGGTTAAAAAAATATGCTGTTGATTTTAAGTACATCAGTTCAGTTCTCATACTGCAATGATGCAAATTTCACACCGGAATTACCACTATTACTAACATCCTAAGCACTTTTAGAGGTTTTGCTTTTCATTCAAACAAAGTACATGTGGATCTCTTTCACTTACTAACTTGTCTTAAAAATAACAAAAATGTTGAACACAATATTTTGGGTCATTTTCTCTTCCAGACTCTATAAATTGTTAGGGATGGGGCTAATGAATGAATAAGAGCATTACATTCTGTGTGGGAAAAACTAACATTAGTCTACAATACACTCACAAATATTTTTAAGTCAGCCAGGACCAAAATATAATCTCTAAAAGGCTTTCCCACAGTAGGGCACAGAGAGATCACCAGTACTTTGGTGAAATATGAAAAGGAGATGATATAGCAAATGAAGTGTTCACATTTTAGGAGTTCACACAGACATTAAGTGGGTTGTTGCATCAACCTCGATTTTTACTTTCTAATCTCTTGAGCCATACATAAGTCTGAGCTATTATCAAGAAACTTTCTTCATCCACCCCAACTCTGAAACTTGACTTTCCTGAACTAAGCCTGTCTTCATGGCCAAATTTTTCTCAAGTTTGTACAATACATGTTGCTGCAAGGATGGTGCAAGTGAGGAAGACCTCTGGGATCCCTCCAAAACTCGAGGTTTAGGTTCTTTCATAAACCCAACTAAGGAAAACTGCTTACGGTTTCTCAAGTTCAAGCAAGTTCCCTTATCCAAACTGAAGTACCATGGTGATCATCAGAAAATTTCCAACCAACTCCCATAATATGTTTAAATGAATGTATCACCATGTTTTACACTTCAGGAAACACTCAATGATGCCTGCCGTACAGAGAGAACTCCAGAGGCCTATGGGTGACGTTTGTCAGAAGGGGGCATCTTTTTTTTTTTTGGTGAGGGACATTAGCCCTGAGCTAACATCTGTTGCCAATCCTCCTCTTTTTGCTGAGGAAGACTGGCCCTGGGCTAACAGCCGTGCCCATCTTCCTCCACTTTAAATGTGGGACACCGCCACAGCATGGCATAAGTGGTGCATAGGTTCATGCCCAGTATCCGAACCTGCAGACCCCAGGCCTCCGAAGCACAGGGCACGAACTTAACTACTACACTACTGGGCCAGCCCCAGAGGGGGCTATCTTTAAATGAAGGTCAAACAAAACTGTTCCACAAAGATTAGAGGTATTTAAAGTGGATTTCTCCTTATGTCTGAGGCCAAGTTTATCAGCTCTATTATCAATCAATCAAAACTGAGTACAAATTTCCCAAGCTCTGTGATCAGTTGCTCTGAATGCCTCTATTTGCTCAATCACCTTTGGCTCTGAGTCAGTGAGGGATAGAAAACTTGTTACCCCAGGTAAGCCTACATAATTTAGGCAGAGTATCAAAAATCATTATCAAAAGTATAACATGCCTCAGTCTGAAAAACCTTAGCACTAAAAACAAAACAAAAATCAAAAACTTTACAATTCAAAAGCTCAATTAATTCTAATAAATTTCTTACATCTTTTCAATTTAAAATATTCTTTGTCCTTAAACAGCAACAGTTTTTGACGGGTCTCCTTTCACCTGCATAATGCTGACAAAGGAAATCTGAGTGACTGACAGTAGATGAAAAGGAAAATAATGAAAAAGAAGTTTAAAAAGTTACAAACCTGACAGAAACACTGTAATTCCAGCCTGGAAGTACTTACAAATAGACTTAATATGATACAGGTGGCAATGCCAATGATTCTACAAAATCATTAAGCTTGCAAAAATCGTAGTTAACACATGAAAGTTGCATTGATTCTTTCCACATTATTAACGCAAATTTCTTTTCTTAACCTTTACCCTTTTCTATATTCTCCAATGGAAAACAGTGTATATGTTAAATTGTTTTTTTAAATTCTAGAACATAAAACTAAGGGCATTTAAGGAACTATGGAAAATACAAAGACATTTATAAAATAATTTTTAATCATTCACAATTTCCCGCCCAAAGGTTTTGTTCTATATCATTCTAGACCTTTACATATGCATTTGAAAATCCATGACTAAAGGTATAAATACATATATATTTAAATATAAAGACATATGTAAGAATGTTCATAGCAGTGATGTTTGCGATAGCAAAACACTAGAAACAACTAGAATATCTGCCGACTGGTGAACGGACTAATAAACTGAGGTGAATTCATGCAATGGAATGCTAGAGCAGCAGGAAAACAAAAGAAGAACTATAAAAACTTGCATCAGCAGAATGAATCTCATAAACAATGCTGAGCAAAAAAAATCAAGTCACAGAGGAATACATACAGCATGATTCTAAGGGTAAAGTTCAGAAACTTGCAAAACTAAATAATATTTTGTTTGGGATATATATAAACTGTAAATCAAAATTAGGAAATAAGTAACAAAATCCAGGATGATGGTTACATTTGAGGGTGAGGCAGGAGTAACTGCAGAGGCCCAGGGGGCCTTCAATGGCATTTTAAAGTTTTAGTTCTTAAATTAGATCATGGACAATTTATTACTCTTCCTTAAACTGTGCACACACATAATATATACTCTTTTGTATGTGATATTCCATAATAAAAACTTAAATACCTAGTAAGACCTATTCAAATCCAGAAGAAAACAAGGCCAATTACCTCTACTTATCAACCTAGTCACTCACATTAACCATGTTACCTGACACTTGAAGAAACCCAACAGAACAGAAACCCCCAGAACAGAAGAAATAGGCCAAGATGGACCATTGGAAGACATGTCCCAAAGGAAATAAGAGATATTTCAGGAATTAGAAGAGAACTTTTTAAAAATTCTAATTAGCATGCTCAGAGAGATTCAAGAGGATATTCATGTCCATAAAAATCAAGAATAAACTGTTGTTAAAAAAGAGACAGAGTAAATTTAAAAAGCGAGAAAGAGAGAAACACAAAACATTAAAAACATGACACATGGAAGGGAAGAAAAAATAAAACAAAATCCCCCTGGGCTCTAGAAAGCCAGCCAATCAAGACAGACTCAAAGAGTCTACCAAGTGCCAAGCAGGATGAAAGAGAAAAGACACACATCTAGACACATCATAACGAAATTTCAGAACTCCAAGGACAAAAAGCAAATCCTAAAAGCTTCTAGAGTATAAAAATAGGTTACATTCAAAGAAATGACAATCAAATGAGAGACAAAGATATTTTTGAAAGGCAAGGACTTAAATTTTAACATTCATGTACACCATATTAAAAATAACTACTCCAAATTTTGAGAAAAGATAAGAAAAATGACAACATAAAGTATGAGAGACAACAGCAGCTGAGTAAGACCTAGAAGAAGCAGAGAAAGCTGCAAAAAATTAGAAGAGGATTCATAGATCTTGTTGTTTACGCCGCTCTCTTTGAGGAGGGGTTTGGTGATACAGCGTTACATCTCCTTCTCCAGGCATCCAACGACACTTCTAGGTTCTGACGTAAGTGATATTTATTTAATAATGATATTGCAAAAGCGGTATTTGTGGAGTATAAACATTTAGGCTTAATTTGTACACAGAGCGTGAAGTCTACTTCTTGTTACACAAAACAATATAAACATTATTCACTTTGATAACGTAAGAACA